GTCGTCGTGGTCGTCTTCGGCGTCGTCGTCGGCGTCGGCGTCGGCGTCGGCGTCGCTGTTGTCCTTGTCGGCATCGCTGTCGTCGTCGTCGTCGGAGTCGGCGTCGGCGTCGGCGTCGGCGAGGCCGTCCGCATCGGCGTGGGCGTCGGCGCAGCAGTCGGCGTCGGCGTCGGCGTCGGCGTCGGCGCCGTCGGCGTCGGCGTCGGCGGCGTCGGCGTCGTCGCCGTCGTCGCCTGCATTGTCGTCGTCGACGGCGGCATGGTCGTCGTCGCCGTCGTCGTCATCGTCCTCGTCAGCGTCGTCGTCGTCGGCGTCGGCGTCGGCATCGGCGTCGGCATCGGCGTCGGCGTCGGCGTCGGCGTCGGCGGCGACGGCGGCGTCGGCGTCGGCGTCGGCGTCGGCGTCGGCGTCAAAATCGGAGTCGGCGTCGGCGTCGGCGGCGGCGGCGGTGTCTGCGTCGGCGTCGGCGCTGGCGTTGTTTCGGCGTCGGCGTCGGGCGTTCGGCGTCGGCGTCGGCGGCGGCGCGGGCGTCGGCGACGGCATCAGCGTCAGCGTTGGAGTCGGCGTCGGCATCGGTGTCGGCGTCGTCGGCGGCGTAGGCATCGGCGTCGTCGTCGTCGTCGGCGTCGGTGTCAGCATCGGCGTGGGCGTCGGCGTCGGCATCGGCGTCGGCGCGGGCGTCCCAGTGGCGTCCGCGTCGGCGTCGTCGTCGTCGGTGTCGGCGTCGTCGTCATCGGCGTCGTCGGCATCGTCGGCGTCGGCGTCGTCGTCGGCGTCGGCGTCGGCGTCAGCGTCGGCGTCGGCGCTGTCGTCGTCGTGGGCGTCGGCGTCGGCGTCGGCGTCGGCGTCGGCGTCGTCGACGTCGGCGTCGGCGTCAGCGTCGGCGTCGGCGTCGTCGTCGTCGTCGTCGGCGTCGGCCTCGTCGTCGCCGTCGGCGTCGTCGTCGGCGTCGTTGACGTCGCCGTCGGCGTCGGCGTCGCATCGGCGTCGCCGTCGCCGTGGGCGTCGGCGTCGGCGTCGGCGTCGGCGTCGGCGTCGGCATCGGCGTCGGCGTCGGCGTCGGCGTCGGCGTGGTCGTCGTCGTCGGCGTCGTCAGCGTCGGCGTCGGCATCGGCGTCGGCGTCGGCGTCGGCGTCGTCGCCGTCGCCGGTCGGCGTCGCCGTCGGCATCAGCAGCGGCCTGCAGCGGCGTCGGAGCCGGCGTCTTCGACGGCGTCGTCGTCGTCGGCGGCCGCGTCGGCGGCGTCGGCGCCGTCGTCGGCGTCGGCGTCGGCGTCGGCGTCGGCGTGGGTGTCGCCGTCGGCGTCGCCGTCGGCGTCGGCGTCGGCGGCCGCGTCGGCGGCGTCGGCGCCGTCGTCGTCGGCGGCGTCGGCGCCGGCGTCGTCGTCGGCGTCGGTGTCTGCGTCGTCGTCGTCGTCGGCGTCGTCGTCGGCGTCGGCGTCGGCGTCGGCGTCGGCGTCGGTGTCGGCGTCGTCGTCCGCGGCGTCGGCGGCGTTGTCGGCGTCGGCGTCGGCGTCGGCGTCGGCGTCGGCGTCGGCGTCGTCGGCGTCGTCGTCGTCCGCGGCGGGTGTGGCGCCTCGCCACGCGACCGGGGACCGCGTGCGCGGGTTCACGGAAGGCAAAGGTTCGGTGAGCTCACTGCAAGGAGAAACTGTGCCCTCAGCGAGCCAGCCGCGAGCCCTTGGCATCCGACGAGGCAGGGCTGCCTTCAGGATCGTTCCACTCTGCGAGGGGCCCCCCTCGCCCTCCTCCTCGCCCTCCTCCTCCTCCTCCTCCTCCTCCTCCTCCAGCTCGTCCTCCCCATGTTTTCCTTACAAGTGAATAACTCCTCCTGTCGCGCCCCGAGGTCGGTCGAAAGGGCGGGCTGGGCGTTTCGCCTGAGACTTCCTTACACCATACGACCCTGAACTTCAAAATTGGCAACAATTTCCTTAGCGCCGCGCACATTTGCTTATACAACTTGCGCGAGTTTCACAGGCTGACGGGGGGTCGTGTTCACAATGTGGTTATCGCCTTAGCGCCGCGCACATTCGTCTTGAAAAGTTGCCAGAGCTTCACGGATGGAAGGCCAGTCGTTTTCAAAATGTTGCTCTCGCCTCGGCGCCGCGCACAATCGTCTTAAGATGGTGCAAGAGCTTCACAGATGCCTTGCACGAGCTTCACGGATGGAGGGCAGGTAATTTTCAAATGTGGCGCACACTCGTCCTAAAAAGTTGCAAGAGCTTCACGGATGGAGGGCGGGTCGTTCTCAAAATGTGGTTTTCGTCTGAGCGTCGCGCGCATCCGTCTTAAAAACTGCAAGATGTTCACACATTGAGGGCGGCTCGTTTTCAAAAGGTGGCTCTCGCCATAGCGCCGCTGCCATTCGATTTGAGAAATTATAGAGATTCCAAAGATTCCCATGATCAACGTACTACAAAGTGTGTTTGGAACGACTCGGGAATATCAGGGCGCAAGAGTTACGTTGATTCGCGGCGTTGAACTTCCAGGGATGGCGTTCTGGCACGATTCAGGATCGTCAAGGCGCAAAAGTCACGATGATTCGCGGCGTTGGAGTCCCGAGAATGGTGTTATTGCACGCTTCAGGGTATTCAAACGGTTGTCTCCCAACGGGGAGCTTCCCTCAGTTGAAATGAGCCCTTGTAGGGGCCTTTGAAGATAGAGTTTGGACGGAAGGTTTGTTCCAACATCGTTGATGCGTCCTGGGTTTACACTGGTCATCCTCCTCCTCCTCCTCCTCCTCCTCCTCCTCCTCCTCCTCCTCTTCCCCCTCCTCCTTCCCCACCTCATCCTGCTTCTCCTCCTCCTCCTCCCCCTCTTCCCCCCCTCGTCCCCCTCCTCCATCCTGGGGGCAGCTTTGTTAACCTTGGCCTGGCTCTCCCAACGTTGCATGATCGGAACAAAGGGGGCAACTTTGTTACCGCAGTGTCGTCCATACCCTTTCACAAGTTTCCCCATGTGTGTCCCCGTTTGCCATTTCAGCCTTCCATCGATCGTGTTCGCGGTCGT